ATAAGAGGCAAAAAATCGAGAATACCTCCTACTGGAATTGAAAAATTGATATGCTTCTAAACTTGATTTTTCAGTCTTCTTTTACCTACAAAACGAACAAACTATCCAAGATCGAAGTGCTTCGATCAAAGGCACTCCGATACTTAAGTCAGTAAAGGTATTCAAACGAATGAAAGAAGACAAGGAGGGTTCAGCTTAACTTTCTTGTTGGCTCCTTTTGCTTTTTATAGATGGTCATCCCTTTAGGGTTTCCGTGATTCTTGATTTAAGGTGGCTCACCTTTCTCCAATTCAGTGATTCGATTTGAAAAGTTGTTGATATTTTTTCATTATTTTTTCCTGATATCTTCAATTTCTCTTATTCGCTTATCTGATTGCCTAAATTATAGGCGAATTTTTATTCCCCTGTTTATTATTTAAAACAGCTTGGACATATCGAATGTCAAGCACACTTGATATTTGCCAAACAGATTAAGAGTCTTGGTTTAGCACAAACCGATCTCTTTAATTGCCTTGTTGAACACTTTAACGGACTCGGTTTGGTACAAACCGAGCTCTTTCTTTGCTTAGCTAAACTGATGAGTTCGATCATAAAGAGAATCGAACTTTTTCTGCCTTTGCCGAACCTTTAATTAACTCGGCTTGGTTAAAAAGCTTAATAAAAAATTCTTTATCACGTGTCTTATTTTGTCAACATTATGTGAGCATATTTAATATCATGTCACGTGTAATCATGAGATTTAACCCCTCAAAAACCTTTACACATTGTTCTAAATCTTCCTGGCAGTACTTGCAAACAGAAGATTAGCAGTATGCTTTGAATTTTTAAAGACTCGCTGGATTATAAACCCAACTGAGTCAAGTAATTGTAGCCCTTGACAGTTCTCATGTTAAGATTGTTGGACAATCGTTGAAATTATGGAACTGATCTAAAAAATACCTCAAAAATAAGGTTGGACATATCTTCAACTACAGATTATGCAACTTGGTTTTGACTAAATATGATAAGCAACATCTCCATTTAGAGTGAGGCTACATACATCTTATCCTCTCAATCCTTAGAATGGTCTTGGACTATCATTTATGTTAAGTAGTTACAAAAATAATTTATAATCGCATCAGTAAATAGCATGAGTAAACTTGAGACTTGAGACTTGAGACTTGATCATTTCCAAACTGTTGAATAAAGTTGTGTCATATAGACTTGTGTTGAGTACTAGTCAAATCATGTTGTATGCATCGACCTGACTTATTTATTTTCATGTCGTGTTTATATTGTCCCATGTAACTCGTAAATAAAAAATTTAATTGTAAGATTTTAATTTAAGTTTTCAATATAACTTAATCGAACCCTTACTCATGTTTTTTTCTATAAACTAAAATTTAACTTAATAAACATAATAATAAAGAAGAGTAAAAAGGTCTTTTTTTTACAAGAATTATGTCAATACTTAATAAAAAATAACAAAATATGGCATTTTACTCTTATAATACTGANTAGCCACACCTTGTCGATCCTCTGCCTTGAGTCACTGGTGCAAAACTATAAGAGGCAAAAAATCGAGAATACCTCCTACTGGAATTGAAAAATTGATATGCTTCTAAACTTGATTTTTCAGTCTTCTTTTACCTACAAAACGAACAAACTATCCAAGATCGAAGTGCTTCGATCAAAGGCACTCCGATACTTAANCGTACTAATTTCATGTCGATTTTAAATCGTATTTTTGTGTCATGTCAAAAATTATCACTCCTAATGTTGAATCCAAATCACAATTATATTAGTTGAAATTGAATGGTCAATGTTGGCCAATTGTTTATGCCAAAAAAATATAATAATGGCACAAAATTATGTTATAGACCATAATCAAACACAAACCGTGAGAATATAGGCAAGCCACTATTGTCCTAACACCCATTAAGGGCTAGCAGTAGCCATTAGCTTCGTTGAGTACTCCCAACCAATAACAACATGGAATCTGGTCTCCATCAACCTTTATTGACNAAACTTGATTTTTCAGTCTTCTTTTACCTACAAAACGAACAAACTATCCAAGATCGAAGTGCTTCGATCAAAGGCACTCCGATACTTAAGTCAGTAAAGGTATTCAAACGAATGAAAGAAGACAAGGAGGGTTCAGCTTAACTTTCTTGTTGGCTCCTTTTGCTTTTTATAGATGGTCATCCCTTTAGGGTTTCCGTGATTCTTGATTTAAGGTGGCTCACCTTTCTCCAATTCAGTGATTCGATTTGAAAAGTTGTTGATATTTTTTCATTATTTTTTCCTGATATCTTCAATTTCTCTTATTCGCTTATCTGATTGCCTAAATTATAGGCGAATTTTTATTCCCCTGTTTATTATTTAAAACAGCTTGGACATATCGAATGTCAAGCACACTTGATATTTGCCAAACAGATTAAGAGTCTTGGTTTAGCACAAACCGATCTCTTTAATTGCCTTGTTGAACACTTTAACGGACTCGGTTTGGTACAAACCGAGCTCTTTCTTTGCTTAGCTAAACTGATGAGTTCGATCATAAAGAGAATCGAACTTTTTCTGCCTTTGCCGAACCTTTAATTAACTCGGCTTGGTTAAAAAGCTTAATAAAAAATTCTTTATCACGTGTCTTATTTTGTCAACATTATGTGAGCATATTTAATATCATGTCACGTGTAATCATGAGATTTAACCCCTCAAAAACCTTTACACATTGTTCTAAATCTTCCTGGCAGTACTTGCAAACAGAAGATTAGCAGTATGCTTTGAATTTTTAAAGACTCGCTGGATTATAAACCCAACTGAGTCAAGTAATTGTAGCCCTTGACAGTTCTCATGTTAAGATTGTTGGACAATCGTTGAAATTATGGAACTGATCTAAAAAATACCTCAAAAATAAGGTTGGACATATCTTCAACTACAGATTATGCAACTTGGTTTTGACTAAATAGATAAGCAACATCTCCATTTAGAGTCAGGCTACATACATCTTACCCACTCAATCCTTAGAATGGTCTTGGACTATCATTTATGTTAAGTAGTTACAAAAATAATTTATAATCGCATCAGTAAATAGCATGAGTAAACTTGAGACTTGAGACTTGAGACTTGATCATTTCCAAACTGTTGAATAAAGTTGTGTCATATAGACTTGTGTTGAGTACTAGTCAAATCATGTTGTATGCATCGACCTGACTTATTTATTTTCATGTCGTGTTTATATTGTCCCATGTAACTCGTAAATAAAAAATTTAATTGTAAGATTTTAATTTAAGTTTTCAATATAACTTAATCGAACCCTTACTCATGTTTTTTTCTATAAACTAAAATTTAACTTAATAAACATAATAATAAAGAAGAGTAAAAAGGTCTTTTTTTTACAAGAATTATGTCAATACTTAATAAAAAATAACAAAATATGGCATTTTACTCTTATAATACTGATTAAACGTGTTAATCGTGTCAATTTCGTATTGTTTGTATTTGACGCTAAACCCAATTCATTTATTGTTCTTGATAACAAGTCTTGTCATTTACGTATTCTTCTCGAAAAATGGTCAGTCCTAACGTACTAATTTCATGTCGATTTTAAATCGTATTTTTGTGTCATGTCAAAAATTATCACTCCTAATGTTGAATCCAAATCACAATTATATTAGTTGAAATTGAATGGTCAATGTTGGCCAATTGTTTATGCCAAAAAAATATAATAATGGCACAAAATTATGTTATAGACCATAATCAAACACAAACCGTGAGAATATAGGCAAGCCACTATTGTCCTAACACCCATTAAGGGCTAGCAGTAGCCATTAGCTTCGTTGAGTACTCCCAACCAATAACAACATGGAATCTGGTCTCCATCAACCTTTATTGACAAAGTTGAAGGGGGGGGTTAAGCTCTAGAACCCAAATAAACAATTTCGTTAGAGAAGTTGTTTTCGTGACTCAAATGATCACGAAATACATTTTGCGATCATATTAAACCAAGTGATCTCTTTCTTGTAAGCAAAGGATTCCAGGGCAGTGGATATCCTTCACTCTATAAAGCTACTTTCATCTTGTTGACTAGAGTGCCATTACTCATTATGTGCATGATCTATCTTCTGCCTTTACTTCTTTTTCAAGGTCGGTTTCAGATATCCTAACTACGTAACACAACCAGCAATTATAGATGGCCATCCATACTAAAGCAAATTCCCTTTGGCTCTACATTCTAAGGTCCAAA